AATCTTTTTATATTCAATAACAATCTAAGTTGTACTCATATTTTATAATATTCTATAATTGCCTAAAATTTTTTTATAATATTTAGTATTGTAATCAGCTTAGAGTATATTATATTCATTAATTATAAAGATAAAATAGGTAAAAACTTTAGGTCGACATTTTAATAATAGTTTAAAAGAAAAATCTATACGATTAAAATATAATCTCTAAGTATAAAACTAAAACAATTGTATAGATAATTTTATTTTATACATAATGCCGTTCCAGAAATGTATGCATTTAGTTTTAACATTTTAAATGTTCAATATTCATAATACGAGTAGGTATAAATAAAATCTGTCCTATAATCAGTTATGTGTAGCCGTTGTTTCATTTTCCCAAAATATTACGAATTTCATATAAGTAGTTTAAGTAATACTCAAGTAATAGTATTATACTTATTAATATTATCTGTCGGAATTAATGTAACTATTATGACAGGTGACACTAATATATAATTGTGATATTTACTAAATTCTATTAATATATACAATGGGGTTCAATGATTTTTGGAATAATGTATTATAGTTTTATAAGAAAATTAACAAAATTAGTGTATTGTATTAAATTGATTTTTTTATAATATAACTTCTATAATTGGAGAATTTTTATAAAGTATCCATTTTAGATTCTAAACGAAGTGATGAATGTATTGATTTTACAATGATGTGTGTTTTTTTTTTGTGTATGTGTACAGCATAAGTAGTCGAAATAATGCTTCAATTTTAAACTTCGGGGGTGGTTTCCGATGGAAAAGTGAATATCCTTGGTACATTATAAAAAGTAAACATTTTCCAACAGTTTTCAAAAAAATCGAGAAAAACAAAAAAAAAAAAATGACGGAAAAACGGAAATTTTTACGCAAAACCAGTTTTCGACCAAATCAATTTTTTTATATGGTTGTAATTCAAAAAATAATCACTGTAAATACTTGAAATTTTTATCAAATGTTTATGTTAGTGTTATCTATATAAAATTTAATTTTTAAAAAATTTTGACTTTTTTTGAGTTATTTATAGACCACTGAAATTATCGATTTTTATGAGAATTTTTTTTTGAAGTGTCGATAAAAAAAATGTTGGATGACCAAAAAATTTTGAAAATTTAATACAAGGTTCCTTATGAGTTGTTCTTATTGTAGCTAAAAAAAAAAAATTAAAAATCGTTAGTCACAATTTTTTTTTATAAACGTTTATATTTCAAATATTTACGAAATCTATCGAAAATGCGAAAATTTATAAGTAATTTTGAAGTTGAAAAATCATAAAATTTTTTGTATTTATAACTAAGGATTAAAAATACTACACTATGTTTTCCCTAAGATCTCCTTCAAGTAGCTATATAGTAAAAAACTCGAAGCATCATTATAGGAAACATTTTAAGTGCGTTTGAATTTTAAATTTTTACGAAAATTTTTTTTTGAAGTGTCGATAAAATTTTTTTGGCCCAATCAAAATACTTGAAAATTTAATACAAAGTTCCTCATAAGTTATTCTTATAGTGATCAAAAAATTTTAAGAATACATAGGCACAATTTTTTTTTATTAGCATTTGAAGTTCAAATATTGACAAAAATTCGTCAAAACCATGAATATTTGCAAACTATTTTGTAGGTATAATTCATAAAAATTAATAATTAATTGGTTAACCATGACTTTTGCAAATGCGTCCTAATTGAAAAATAAAATATTTGTTTCAAAATAGAATGTATGACAATGTTTAAAGATAATATATCCTAGACTAACTAATCATCTCTGCTTAGAATCATTTTTCGTATACAACGATACCTATCATTGCATTCAAATTTAATCTACCCTAGTCCGAGGTTCACCCCACCCCCTAATGTACAGCAGAGCGGTACCCATTTGCCCGCTTTTTTTATTTTGTTGTAAACATATCAAATAACAAATACGCGCATTCATATATATTATGACCTATGTACAATGTACATTGTAATACGCGTAATAGTATAATATTTTCATCAAATTTGTTTTATCATTTTCTGAAAGTTCTTTAAATTATCATTATTAATCAAAAGAAAAATTAAAAATAATGAATTGATTTTATCAAAAATAATTGATCATTTAAAAAAAAATGTTTTGTAGATATCTGGTATACACAGTAATTCACCAATCATATACTGACCTCCCCTGTTTTTATAATAATGCATTTGTACAAAACCTGATTTTTGGAATTTTTAAATAAACTTAGTTCTAATGATTTAAATTCTCGAGATTTTTTGTATTACTTAAGGAGTGTCATGTAAAGATACGAAATTCTATTTTTAACATAACAAACCCCTTTTCTACTATCAATTGTTTAGTTTATAATTTTTTTGAATATATCGACATAATATTAAAATAAAAATTTGAATAAGCAATTTATGAATTATTAAACTTTGTGTTCTAAGGAAATAGATTTATGTCGTTTATGATAATGGATTTAAAAGATATAGGGTATGTTAATAATTAGAATTGTTTTGCAATTTATATTAATTTATTTATATTTATATTCTATAAAAATTATCTGACAAGTACTATATCTAATATTTTATCTACTTTATATTTTTGTAAAACTATTTTCTAGGATTATTATTCTTGATATAAATTTTTTAATAACTGAAAAACTACTCATTGAAACTTTGAATTAGTTAAATTGAAATTTAGAAAAATATCATTCTCTAAATAATTTACAATAAAAAAGGGAGGTTTTATTTGAAAAACAAAAGTTTATATCACAACAGAAAATATCTTAAGTAACACAAAAGTCTTATACATTTTAAATTATTGTCTTTAAGTTTTTAAGTATATTTTAAAGTAACGATTCTGTTTTTAAAAGGTATTAATATTTTTTCAGAATTATAATATCTGTATAATAACTACCAGTGTATACTAGTTGGGCCCAGATACAAATTTTGTATTAGTTGGGTTATATGTTAAAATTTATGTTATTTTTTTTTGAAGTGGTAAAAAAAAAAAATAAAAGACATTTCCTTTCTCATTTAATAGACTCTGGGCTGTTTGTAATTTATTAATTAGTTAGAAGTATGGTTAAAAATATATTTTTTTTCTCTGTGTAATGTATAAGATAAAATTATAACATTGAATGTATTAAGATGATAACTTATAGTTTTGCTGAAATGTATAAAAAACAGATTTTAAAAATTCGTAATAATTAATTTTTCTCAGCATTTTTTTGACAGTTGAATATTTCTTTGATAGTATATAATTTTTTTTCCTTTTAAACATTCTAAATTGCGCCTCTAAAAGTATTTGAAATTTTTTATTACTTATTGGATCATATTATACCAATTATTTATTTATTTAATTGTGTTAATACACTTCTACACCAGGTATTTTTATAATGCCGATTATAATTTATGAAATATGTTGACAAATATGTTTACAACAATATTTACAATAATTACAATCATTTTTAATTTTGGTTAGCTTATAAGTTTAGGTCTGAATCTAAATCTGAAGTGTCTTCTTTAGGTTCAAGTATAGGTACTAATTATTACGTTTGCTTAACGTACGTCAAAAACAATTTGAAATACATTTATTTTATATTTGTATAGAGTTTTATTAGTACGTTGATTGAATGTTAAGTTGAAACTGTACTTAAAATCAATATATTTCATACATATATGTGTGCTATTGTCGTACGTCTAACTCAGGTATTTTATAGATAGGCATAAACCGGTCAAACTCGTTGACATTTGAGTATTTGACGAATAACGATGCAATCTGCAATAATAATTGTCGTACGAAAGAAGACGTGCATCGCTGTGTGTATTATACCATAATAAGGTAGTGGTTGGTTTTGCCAATAATACAAATAGTAATGATAATATTATGTATATCTATGCCACATACAGATATCAACAGGGGCAATCGAATCTATCCGTCGAGGTCGACGAACCCTTAGAATTTTCTCACAACACACACACACAAATTCCTCTGCATTGAATTATGATTGAAAGCGAAACGCATCGCGAAATTGTCAGCGTTGTGCTATCACAGCTAATATAAATTATAATATATTTTTGGACGTATGATCGTCACAATTTATGATCATATTTTTGTTATATGTAATATAATTATTGCCATCCGATGCGCTGACGATTAAAAAAAATTGCATAAATCATACAACAATAATATTGACGCGTGTGTGCGTGTACAACGTATCGTCCCACATAGTATATGATCGTTTTCGGCGTTTTTTTTAATGGAAGGAGACAGAAAAATTGATTGCAAAGTTCACCTCGTGGTCCTCAGTCCTCACCCCGATTTAAAATCCATAATAATATCAAACACATTATTATTGTCAATAAAATATAGCGTTGTATTGTGTAACAATAGGTATTACTATTCTCACCACGGCTCGTTTGGCAAAAAAAAAAAAAAAAAAACAAAACAGAATAAAAATTACAAAATTTACGAAGTTTCATGGTAGTTTACAGGTACGTCGTAGGTATAACTTAGGTAGAACAGCCGTTGAGGTAGGTCTGTTGCGTCGTGCCGATTGCCGGCCGCAAAGGTCTGTCGCTCCGTCATCTCCGTCAGACGGTTCTCGCGCGCACGCCGCCGCTATCGATTGTGTGTGCCGTATGCTACGTTTGCGTGTGTGTACGTGTGTGCGTGTAGTGGTAGGCGGTAGCCGATCAGATTCTCACCCAGTCCACCGCCGCTGAAAAACCGCGAGCGCGCGCGCGCGCGCACACAATCGCCCGAACGTTACCGTCACACGTATACTCACGGCGGCGGCGGCGGCATGGAGACCGTCCACGTCGTTGTGATTATTATCTTTTCACGTAGTGTGCGCGCGCACACACACACACACGCGCGCACGCAAACACATACACACACACACCCCCAAACGCAGCCACACACCCGCGCCCGCGCGCGCACACACACACACGTACACGTCGCACGCACGCACGCACGCACACACGGATCGAGACGGTGACAGAATCAACGGCGGCGGCGGCGGCAGCAGCAGCAACGGCCACCAGCAACAGCAGCTCGCCCCGCCGGCGTTCACGTCGACTACACCACCACTACTACCACCACCGCCACCACCGCCACTACCGCTGCCGCTGCTGCCGCCGCCGCCATCGTCACACCACCGGCACACTACCACCGTTGGCCACCACGTACGCGGTCGTAGACTCGTCGCCGCAGCAGTCGCATTCGTTTTTCGTGTGCCCACACTCAACCGTTACACCGGTCACCGACACCCTCGGCACCACGTGCTTAACCGCTCGATACGATATCGTCGCTTCAACGCATAATATTTCGTTATTATTGTTATTGCCGTGAGTACCACCTACCCTTATTACTACTACTATTATTATTACTTAGTTCTGTCGTTGTACCTGCTGTCTTAATATTATTGGTCATTTGGTCATGCGAACGGTCCGCTGGTCGTATTTACGGGCAATAAAACATTTTTCAATGTGCCGATTTGTGCATTTGGGTATGTTTTTATTTTTATTTTTACGCGTTTGGACCGGATTTAGGATTTGGAACGATGAAAACGGGTTCGCGAGATCGCGTTCGTTGCCGGCCGACCGGGGGAGGCGTACTGGAACACGGCCGCGCCAGTTAAACCCACATCGGGTGTACGCCGCTGCCCGCTACCCACACTGCACGCACAACCCGTCGTCAATCGTATAGGTTTTCCGGCAACTCGCGCGCGTGCAGGTGGAAATCGTCGTTTTTGCGCGAACGTCGTCGGACCGGTGCCGATCGTTCGAATTTTCGTGGTGGAAAATTCGATACGCGCCCGCAAACGGCGGCGTAGCGCGGGCACCGGTTCGGTAAGTTTCGCTGGGGCACAACGCACGTGTTTCTACGATGCCCGTTTTCGAACGTCCGATTTCTTATCTTGTTGTGGTTAGGTACTACGGCGCGCTCGACACACACTCGAATCTGTTGCTCGAAAATCTCGAATAATTACGGTTACGGTTTTCGAGAGATACCGACGAAACGTCGGTCGCACGATGATGTACAGGACGTATATCGAGGTTCCGAGGTACCCGATCTGTAAGCGACGTCTGATGAATTTTGGGCGACAATGTTTAACGTGCTGCGAGTATTTTAGGCGTCGGCCGTCGTCCTCCGTACGCGGTTCCTACCGTTTTCGTCGCGGAAAATTCGTAATGCCTCGTTCACCGTGTACGAGGCGTGTGTGTGTGTGTGTCTTATCTCTATAGATTAATTATAATCGGGACGGGCTCACGTGATGGAAGTGATGAGACGCGCCAGACGGTCGGTATCCACCTCCATGGTCGTAACGTTATTATCATTCCGTTCGAACGCAATCGGTCATCGCAGAGTCGTCGCGTAAATCGTCAAAATCGCACGTCTGCACGTACACGTTTATCCGTGTACCGCGTACACCAACAGGTAAATCGTCGTGGCCGTTTACTGCCTACATCTGTGTTGAATATTGTCGCGTCCGCTTCCGGCGATGTGCTGTACACTCGGTAATTTCTCGCGCGCGTGTACTAGTCGTTTCCCGAAGTTGAGGAACTCGATAATTCGTACGCCAATAAATGAATCCCGACGTGCTTTAAATTTTATTGTAATCAGAAAGGGTCTATATAGACGTCCATGTTACTAATGGTTAGAATGGTTAGATAGGTTCCTACAAACGATTCAAACGACAAAATTGATTCGTAATTTAAGAGTCGTAACCTATTTTCAACTGCACTTGACGTGCATCAGTGAGTTGTCGCGGTCTAGAAATAAAACAACGATGATTGCTAATAAAAAAATTATTGACGATGAGTAGAAAAATATGTACCTATGTGTAGTACTCGTAACACTGATGTTTATCATTATTATATTACAAAAAACTTGAGTGCCTTTTCTGTTTAACCCAATATATTGAACGTTATAATATAGTTGTTCATTTACTTACGCGATATATTTTAATTATGTTTATGAGCCACTACTACTGAATTCTTGACAAATAGAGTGAATTTTTTCGGGAGGTAACATGTTTATAATAATTATTAATTACAAATCGGTACATGTTGGGTGGGCACTAGTGTGCTCTGAATTCCTCGTAATCCGTGAGTCTTATTTAGTTTTCTAATCACAATCGTTGTTAACGTTGTTGGTATGTCATAATACCACCGACTAATTGTACTCTGACGACGTCGAATATTTCAGAGAAAGTACTTGTGTGTACGTTTTTGTATAATCGCAATTTTCTATCCAAAATTATTAGAAAAAAAAATTCACGTTTTAGTTACGAATTAAATTAATAACGTAGGCATATAGGCGTGTGCAGGTTTCATTTGCAGGTTATATGCTATAAAAAAAATAGGGCCCTTTACTAAAAAAAAAAGATCACCGAATATATTTCACACTTAGGATAGGATACTCAACGTAATTTTATTGAATTTAAAAGAATAAATAATTTATTTTAAAAAAACGATTCTGAGCAGTTAACATTTTTTTTTAACCACATACAACTTAATATACTGCTTAGCTTCTTCACTCCCCAGAATTTAAAATTACACATAGTTTTACAGTAGAAGATTAAAAAACGCACTGTAGTAATAACTAATAACTAATAAGTAGTTAGAATTATATTTATTTAAAAAAAGATTTATGATTTCTTAAAGTTTAAGTTTATATTATATTAAATATTATTGAAGAACTTCTTCATATTTATAATGTTTTTATTTTATTGATAGTATATTTACCATATAAAGTTCAAGTTTTATTTTTATTGACATAAACGTTTTGAATTCATCTATCACTTCTTAAATATTGATTTCCGATGCCATTTATATTTATTGCTCGATAAATAAATTAACATAAGTGAATCAAGACATTCTTGTAACATACTGCTTCTTAATTTAGACTTTGCAATAGTTAATTTGAAAAAAAAGGCCGGTCACACGAGCAGCTTGTCACAGGTATTATTGCGAATTGTGTTAAACCTTTATTGAAGTTTTAAAATGGTTTTTTTTTTTTTTGGTCATTTTCTGATAACCAATTTAGCTATGCTGCAATTTTTTTTATTTGATGACTTTGTAATAGAAGTTGTGGCCAGGCCCTAGGCACATATTTATAACTAAAATACAGATTATAATCTAACCTATGCAGCGGCATACCCTGCATACCCTATGCGTAGGCATGTATGATTGGTTTAGTTTCACCGGCATACCTGTTTTACCCGTCTGTATAATAATTCTTTATCCAGTAATAATATTATTATCGAGAGAAACATGGCCGTCGTGTCAGTGTCAACTCATTGACTGTATTTATAATAAAAAAACGATACAGTAACTTTTTTGGCTGTATTAGTTTTGATTTTTTTTTTGAAAAATAAAACTTCATCGGTATTCTGTGGTATTAGTAACAATTTTTTATACACTCTATAAGGAATAGCAGCTGTTATGTGTGGTTTAAAATAAGAATATTCTGGTCATATGTTTAGGACCATAAAAAGAGATATAATTACATTGATGACAATGGAATTTTTTAATATGTATTAGTATATAATATGTTGTAATATTCGCCACATGTACATATTATGTATAAAAACATACGTGCACTTAGTTTTACATGATATTATTTGATATCGAAACAACACATTTATTGTTTGCCGGTGTTATAAATTTACAAACGTACTTTTACGCTTCTAAAATTCAATGGATGTATTTTTTTTCTTGATGGGCTTACGTGATGCGTTCGTCACAGTGTTTTTAAGTTTTTGATTCATATAAAACACAAATAACGAACGTGTGAACGAATTATTATATTATGCACCGATTAATCGCTAGAGTTCGAATTATTTTTCAAAAACTTAGTTCTCTTCTGTAGGTACGCACTACATAGGTTTACTTTAAACTTTTCTCCGTTGACGGTTTTAGTTTTAACTGACTGTTACAGTGTTCGTATAATGTTTTTTGAAATATGTATAGTGTTATAATATTATATCGCTGACAGATATCCCACGAGATGTATCGATCATAATTTTTCAAGCATGCATACATTGGTATTTTGTTACGCAATGTTTAATGAATCGTTCAATTTTTAATATTTCTGCATTTGTTAATCAGATTTATTTTTATTTCAATCGAATTTAAATGTAACCATTTAAACCATTTAATATCGTTCAATTATCATGATTTCTTTTTGTTAATACTCATCCTCCGCGCTTTGTTAACACTGCTGTAGATAATTTATTATACAGTTCGAATTTATGTTGCTACTAAATTACATTTAATATTTAAACGTATATAATACGAATATAATATACGAGTATATATGTATATTTATTAACAATATAACACACAGCAGTGGGAGCCATTTGGTTGAAGGCTTAATGATCGATAAAATGTGATCGAATTATATTTTAATCGAAAAATATATGGTTAAATATTTAATTAATATAGTTTAAATGTTTTGTGGTCGATTAGGTTTCTAGGCCGATGTAAAATTGACAAACGTATCTTATTAAAAATTACAATAGTTAGGCAGTATATAAGATAATAGTACAATTCTAAAATACGTAGGTATATGCTTATAAAAAGTGAAACATGGTTATGATTTATTGGAGAACTCGAGAGAATAGTTAAAAATTTTAAAATAATTTTTTTTTTAATTACATAATAGTAGCTCGATTAATATTTTAAACATTAGACTTATATAAATATACTAATATATTTTGGTCACTAGAATTTCCGGTATTAGATTTTTGATCAGATCACTCCCACCCGTTACACAGGGTCATCTTTAGGGTTTGTGAGACCCAGAGTTAAAACTTACAAATCTTAACATAAATTTTTGTACACAATTGTTTTTAAATAATTTTTTTCTTACTGCTTATACTAATTAATTAAAAATAAATGGACTACAGAAGAATTATCCATCTTTTGACGGAAGCAGAAAAAAAATAGTTACATGTAAATTATTCGCACACAGAAGCATTAGAATATATTTTCTATACCGGTTTTATAATTTTAAATCACTCCGTCTTTCTATGCATATTATTATGTATCTGATATGCCTAATTATACCCTTTTTAATTTTGTATAATTTTAGAGATTAGAAATGAAGGAGCTTTTTAATACTTTAATTAAGTTATTTTAATTTTTCAATGCAGACCTAGAAGAATAAGAAGTTGTGGTGTAAAATTTTTCACATAATTTCAAATTATAATCAATGCTGTGTATACCATCTTGAATTTTGTTTTAACAATTTTTATTTATTTAGTTACAATAAAGTATATTTATTTATGAATAATAAAATACATATATTGTTAATCGTAGGTAAATATAATATTAAACCA